CGGTAACCTGGTTGCTGAGTTCACGAAGTGAAATGGCTTGTTTTACAACGTCTTCGCCAAGCGACGAAAACCCAATCCCGATGGCAAACACCGGGGGGGGGAGGGGGGGGGGAAACAAAGCCGTTTGCCGTTGACCAATTTTTAGTGTCAACATGCCAGCCGAACGTTACAATATTTAAACCACCTTGTTGGAAAAAACAAAAGTATCTGCAGTGGTCCGGAGCTCCCAAGACAACAAAGACAGGACCGGACCGGTGCTCATGCAGCGCTTTCGTGGCATGCCAACTTCAACTTCCTCAACAACAATCAAGATGACAACCTGGTTTCCACGCTCTATGAGGGAGGTAGAAGCGCGCTGATACCATTCCGTTAACAACATCAGGGCATGCACCACACAACTAACTCGAGCCACCTTCTTGTATGACCCCGTGGTACCAGAGACATCGTCGCGGGCGACGAGACAACTCGACAGGATGTTAAAAACGAAAAAAAGAACGGCATGCTCACCTTCGTCGGGCTTGATCATGGTCCTGCGGGGAACCGCGTGCTTGTTCTTGGCCTCGGTGAGTTCCTCCACGATGATGTCCATCACCTTGGAGTCCTCGTTCATCACACCTTCCAGTCTGATAGTGGAACATTTACGCCAGGCAATGTATTTCACTCCAGCAAACTCATTTGGCGACGATCCAGATAATACGTGGGCTTCCGAGAAAAACGTCAACCGATTCCAGTGGTCATATCCCTTACTATGTTGAAAACGTGCTTCGAAACAACTTTCCGGTACGGGTGTGCGATGTGCTCTGGGAACAAAGCGTTGTACGGTTTACCATATCACTCGCTTTGAACCTCAGCTTCCGCCCCCTGCCACATAATTCGCGTGCTGAGATGCGCCAGCCGGGTTAATACGCGCGGAAGACCACGCGCGAGTGCGTTTTTCTCTTGATTGCCTTCTGTAGAGTAAATTTTTTTAAATTTCTTTTCGCGGCGATTATCCTGAGTCACCTGTCACGAAAGGAACCAGAGGCCCCTTTCCGCCGCCTGTGAAGTCGACCTCTCAGCGTACTTCACAGTGTTGGTGTACACACGAGATTGCCGCTTTTCACTTGCCTACATCCTTCAGAGCGGCGCGAGTTTACCGACTGCACCACTGAGGCGAGCACTACCACAACTACTACATGCGCAGTGAAAGCACATGAACAATGTTGCACCCGGGGTGAAAGGACGAGCAGTTGAAGCAGTATGAAGTACTGACCATACTTTCGAGCAGAAATACCGAGAATTTTGATTCTGTCATGTCCCGGTTGCGCCAGCCACAGCTTTCCAGCCTCTGCCCTGAGCTCTGACTCACGCCGCACAAAAGCCGCCCAGTCAACATCGTATGATACAAGACGCCGAACCCACCTTGCAACTCTTAACGCAATGGCAAGTTATGCGAACGCGGCGCTTCTCATGCGACAACCAGTCATCAGATGCAACCAGCACCACGGAGAATAGGCCTAACCTGTTCGCCGAACGTTTCCTACACGCGCGCACCGAAAAAACAAAAACTCAAGCATATGTCCGTACACGCAGGCGTGCCCGCGGCGACCTTGAGCGTAGCTAACCATGCGTGAGGCTGAGACAAATGGGTCTATAACGACCGAGAATCTCGACAGCCTAATTAAGCGGCACATAACACAACCAGTGCGTATAGCCTTGAAAGCATGCCTCCCTCACCTCTCCATGGTTGCCTTGAGGTCTTCCGCCTCTGCCTTGAGCTTCCCCTCTTCCATGGAGGTTAGCCTTCCCAGCCGGAGGGCCAGGATGGCGTCCGCCTGTTCCTGAGACAGCCCGTAGGGCTCCGCCATCAGGCCGTCGCGGGCCATCGGCGTGTCGGTGCTGCCGGACGTGGTAACACAACAAAAGGGGTTTGGTCGTTTTTGTTGCGAATACGCGAACGTGTAGTGTTGGCTTTGCAGAGGATGCGCACACGAACGCGCCATAATAGTGAACGGAAATCTTTTGTGTTGTGATGGTTGGTCCTGAAAATTAACAAGGAAGAGCAGTATGTGAAGAGAGCCAACCGAACATGGAACCAAAGCAAGTAAACGCGGACTCGAGCCTTAATGCACATGGAAAACACATCTTCGGAACCAATTGAGCCAGGAAAATACGCGACGGGAGACAAATCTCGCCAAACGACGTGCCAGCAGTGCATCGGTCAAGGAGAAATCACAAAAAGGTAAAAGTTCCAGATGTTGACGAATCTAATCAAGCCAAGCAAAGTCGCCATTTGCAAGGACCAGGCCGCCCCGTCGGTAGCCAGCGGCGTGTTTGCAATTGCCATAGCGCTATGGCTGCCACACAAGGTAACACTTAGTTGCTGTTGTTGCCAAACCAGAGTAGCACTTTCTTGTTTCATTTTCATCTCGATTCAGAAAAACTCCACTTGTAGTTCTTACAATTCCTTCAATCGAACTCGTTTCACTCGTGATCTGACCCGTGGCACTCGAAGCCGCATCGCCATGTTGCAACGTGAATGCGACATCATCCAACAACTGCAAGATGTGCGCGGGTCGTGGTGTACGTGTCCATCAAGTCCTAGCGCTGTGTTCGGAGCAGTACGCAACCACACCACACGGTTCGAGAGGCTCCCCAAAAGTCGAAACGGGAGATACTGGGAGCCGCCAACTCACGATTCACTTCGACTACCACCAGACTGATCACTGTCGGTGTCCGATCAGCTTTCATTGCGGCGTCCACCGCGGAGGGATTGCTCTGCATGACCTCGAATCGGACCTACTTCGATTACGTTACTAGATTGTAGGGGCAGGACTTCACGGTAGGCGAACAAGCGGGTGCGGAGAGCAATGAGTGAAATGGCGGCGAACAACGCGTACTCTTCGAACACCCTGACCCTACCCAAACCCAAACCTCATCCAAACATCACGTCACACGTTGCAGTCTGCAGCCGTCCAACCATGACGCACGATTCTCGTTGGCCATGGGCAATCGCCTCGCCGTGGTCGACATGCGCCGCACCTCTTAAGTCTTTTGCGCTGTTCAACGTCATCACATCATCACCACTTCATTACATCGCACGACCGCAGACCACCGACGAACCACGCGGCTCGGTCTGCGCCTTTCGCTCAAGGAGCACCCCTTCTCACCTGGCCCTGACGAGCTCGATGACGGCGTCGATCATGCCAAGCGCTTGAAGCATGCCCTGTACGATGTGCTCTCTCGCCCGCACCTGTAGACGAGAGTGATTTCGTGCACGGACGCCATCAATTGATTTCACTTCGCATGTGAGCGGTCTCATTATGGTAATGACACAGTGAAAACAAAACTTCGACTTTCCCGCCGATTAAACCCTGACTGATGCGTTGCACAAACCTTTCGACACCCAAAGAGAAGTGAATGCATGTCTTTCGCTGTGCGCGCCGACTATTGATGGATCAAGGAGTACTATTTCGGAGAGCATTTCGGGGACAAATGAGATGGCGCGTTTGCCGCTGATGGATCGATGTAACCACACTTCCAACAAAGCTCAACAAAGTGCATCAACACAACTAGGGCGCCGCAAGACATGTGCACAAACTCAACAATGAATACGTGCGTCACAACCATTCTTTTCGGGATCGGGGAACGACACAGTTTCGAAATTTCGATACCTCTCATGAACACTTTCACCATTTCAATAATACAAACTGAGACAACCCTCTGGCGGCCCATGTGCACAATTGCATCTTGCCGCCCACAAACAGCTACAACCATCGGATTCGGGAGGCCTACCTAGCTAGACGGATGCAGAGGTCCCACAACTAACAATGTGCTTAAGTCCACAAGCATACACGGAAGGGTAGAGGATGCTGCAATCCCGTGCCACCTGCCTCGGAATCGGAAGCCTGATCATGACGCAAGCGACTGAAAATAGACCAAATGGGGGAAAAATCAAAAACCGACCTTGCCGAGCTCAAACGCAGTCCGCCTGCGCACGGTGGTGAATCGGAAGTCGACGAAGGATTGGATCGCCGCTCGCAAGCTGAACCGGTGCGGCTATACGGAACGGTGAGTGTCAAACACGCACAAAATCACCCACGCACGCACGCGAGAAGAAGACACGAGGCAGCGGGGGGTGTGGGAGGCATGGCTCTGAGGTGATCGCGGCACAACAGGTATTCAATGAAAGTCTACTGGAGCACGTCGTCGAGGGGCTAGCGCGCACACAGAGAGTTCGAGAGGTACAGAGGTGACGTTTCGTCGTGTTGTGGACTCTTATCGTCTCGGCCTTGTGAGTAAGTAGGCACACGTACCTCACGGTGTGGAGCACCGTTTGCACCCCGATGGGCGACAACACCAAACGACTCTCGAAACTGCCACAAAAACGGACACTGCCGAGCTTTCTCGTTCTCTGTCGGAGTTTTGGTGCTATGATTTTTTCCAAGGGACCGCAATTGAGGTTTTCTCATACTTGTCAAATGTACCGATCTCCATCTCATCGCTTCCATCTATATCCGCCATGTCCCTCTCATGGGCAGGGGAAACACAGTCAGAGAACCCGAGCAAAGGTGAAGAAGACGATACACCGATACCCATACCTTTGTCCCGTCGCTGCCAAGAGCCAGCATGTTGCCGCTGAATGACGTCTGCAGCTGCGTCTTCTTGAACAGATTGTTCTCCACCACCTACGAGAGAATGCAAGGGGTAGGGGGAGAGAGAGAGAGAAGACAGGGATCAACAGAGAAAACGAGAGACAGGGACAGAGACCGAGGGGAGGCAGGGGGGCATCAGTACCAACGACAAAAAAGAGCGCCGTGCGCACAAGACGGACGAGCTGAGAAAGCAGCCAAGACAAAACAACAAAGGGTCCATGCGGGCGACTGAACGAAATCAAGGCGCACAAACATGCAGCACGTAACATAGCAGCCAGCCAACCAAACAACCAAACAACCAAACAACCAAACAACCAAAAGCTTCACCTGCGGGTTAGCGTCCCGCTTCAGCTCGACCACAACCCTCACACCGTCGCGGTCACTCTCTGAAACACAAAAGAACAAGGGAAGGATTTTACGAAGGGGAAGAGGGGGCGGGCGCGCGGACGGAGAAAAAGAGACGAAATAAGTGCATGTGCGGGAGCTGGAAACTACCGCTACCGCCAGAACAAGGACCCGCAACAGGTCTAGACAACACCTACAGGGAAGACACCACTAAGCTGGTACTACTGAATCAACTATTCGGTCGACAAAAAAAAGCATGGTATATGCAAGCAATGATTTCGAGCATTGTCTTTGGTCGGAACCCGTGCGTGGTTTTTCGCAGGCGTGGCGGAAACAGGGATAACAACGAGCGCGCAATTGCTTCGAAAAATCTGCAGGGCGTGCGGCAAGAACGGAGATTCCTATAATACGCTCTGAATGTGTTCGACGTATCCGCTATGCGTCAAACCCTCAAGCGAGAAAACAAACGGCGGCGAAGGGTACTGTGCAGACGGGTCCCCAAAGCTGAAAACGAGGAGGGGTACCCAACAACAACCTCGAGAGGGGTTGGGTTGGCCAAGCGCAACTTAACCTACACGCCGCACAAAACCAAAGCGCAGAAACCCACAAAACGAGACAGGATAAAAAAAAAAAACAAGAGAAAAAGAAACGCGCTTGATCGAGAGGTTCCGTCAGCTAGCGGGGCCGTCAGCCAGCAAGTAGTTCAACACTCACCATCCCGGAGATCAGAGATGCCTTCCAGCTGGAATGCAACCCGAACCACAAACAAGACAGGAGGTCAGGAACAACACATGGATGTAAGGACAGCAGGTGCACGTGGTTGGGGTGGGGGTTTGAGTTGAGAGAAGTGTGGAAACGTTCCCTGAGAAGGGCATGGGGGTGGGGTCGACAAAGACAGAGACAGCGAGATAGCCGAGTGTGAGAAAAACATGGCGCGTCGAAGGTCGTACACATTCCCACCTCTCTTTCGAATCAGTCATAACAAGCAACACCATTCAGAGCGACCGTTAACAAAACCCTCTTCAAAACGATTCCGATATCTCCCAAGCTTGATTGCCCCCACAATCGGGGGAAAGATACCGCTACCGGTCGATAACTCCACGGGGGAATACCCATGACCCCAAAGGTAGGTGACTCTGTGGGTGTTGTTACGCTGCAGGCTGTGCAGGGAATAAGATACGCCGTTCACCCCGTTGCTTTACGGACTGCGCTACGAGTTCGAATTGCTTCGGGTGCCTCTCAAACCGACAGCGCGAACGCTGTCGCAGCTAGAAGAATCCCAGCAATATTGTGCAATGAAAGCGCCGCACAGCCAGAGGAGATTCGACGACAAGTTCAAGGAGTCGCACCACCGCCGTTGGTGCTGAGCTAGCTAACAGCAGCCACAAAATCAACAACATCATCATCCACAGCAACAACAACAGTTACACGACCATGAACCCACAGAACATCACTCAGCAAGTCCGACTTCGGAACACGGATCTGCACGCACGGGATGCGTGCGAGTCAGCACCAGAACGCCCCGTCGCACCTTCTTGTCGTTCACCATCTCGGCCATCTTCTGCAGCAGAGAGGACTTGTTGACCTGGTAGGGGAGTTCCGTCACCACGACGGCGTTTCGCCTCGACCTGCCTTTAGCCTCGATCACCTGAGAACGAGTGTCCGTTACGCAAGATGGCCACCGAGTTGAATGCCTTCTGTAACGAGTGCTACTTCGATGGGTTCCAGAATACGCCAACGGGGAACGTTTGGCCTGCAAAGCAACGAGCACTTTGTAGAACGATGGATTCCAGTATCTGCAAAGGATGCACCGACGTCATGCTTTCAGGGATACACACTACAGGTAAAAAAATGGATGGTTTCCTCCATTCTCCACTCGTTGTCCCAATATTTGCTGTTTGAATGTATTCATTGCACTTCAACATTGGTCCTAAATGGAGGCAGCAAAAAACGCAAGCGAATAATTGAGCACTGCGGGGCGCCAGGCTACTGCTGCTGGTGGTGCTGCACCTCGATGTGAGTAGTCGCGCGGAGGGTAACGCCCCCGTTGGAAGTCGTGTAGAGCTTGCGCGCGCCGGCCAGGCCCATGATACGCCCTGCGGATTGGGAGAACAGTCGGAGGAACGGTCCGCGAGGAAGGAACTGCTGCGCGTTCAATTTTACCTTGGCACGACCTGTTTTTACTCGATGGACGCGCTCGCCCACGTGCTTTGTTCGTTGGTCCAACGGTCCCATCTCTCAGACGGAAGGACCTGTCGCGTCCAAAATGAATTCGGTGGCGCATGTGAGTGCAACCAAGACGGCCTTGAAAGCTGTTCACAACCATGCGCAATGTTTCTACAAAGTCTTGTGCAGACAGGTACATGCGGCTTGCAACCACCCGTGAACGTGCCAGTGATGGCATACCCTCCAGACCGACGTCCATAGCTCGAATCCCACCGAAACGTTCCAGGAAAGCTCTCGACGCCGAATTTTCAATACCATCCTGTTCGTTGCGGACTAATGCAGCTTTTGAAAGCCCGTCTGGGGGGTGTGCGATGGCTCACACGTGCGGAACTTTCCAACTTTCGGCTGAAGCCCCACTGGGTGTTTCAAACGAGACGAGACCCGAATACTACCCCTGGACTCTTGTCTCTTGCTCGCACACCGCGTCGCACAATGAGGTACGACACCTTGGCGTGGGAACTCATCCGCAGTGTGTGGCTCTAATAAATTCGTGGTATTTGGGAGCGTGACAGAGGTTTTTTTTCCTGCGAGTGCTTTTCACCGTGTGTTTTCAGCACCATCCATCTGTAAATAGGGAGATTTGGGGCCGTCCATCATTCGGCATCAATGCAGATGATAATGAAGTACTCCTTTAAGGCCAGAGTGGTCGATAAACAATTGCAAAACAGAGGGTAGCCACTTTTATCTCCGGCCGGGAATAAACGCGCCGAGACCAACCACAGATCTTCATTATGGATTGGAGGGCTCCATGCACACAGGGTACTTGGTACCCTTGCTGTCTGTAGGTCCAAAACGTGCCCTGACGGCACCCGTTCAACTACAATCATTTCGCCAACACCAGCACCGGCATCACCTACACCTACATCGACAAATTTCCGTCCTTCCATTCACCTCCCGTTGGGAAGTCGGGAGCAGGCAGCAGCCGGAACAACTGGTCGTCCGGGAGTTCGGGGTTCCTGATGAGGGCTATCGTCGCCGCCACCACTTCGCCCAGGTTGTGCGGAGGGATGTTGGTGGCCATGCCGACGGCGATGCCGGTGGCACCGTTGATCAGCAGCAGCTGCAGACGCCGGGATAGGAAGAGCCGGTGTTACACCGAGGAAACCGTGCGAGGTTGTTCACGGAAAAAACGTTACGTTGCGGAGGGAAGAGGGGCAAGCTAGTCCTGGTGGCCGTCGACAATATCCCAACACTCAGAACCGTTGGAAGTACCAATATCAGGCAAAAGCAACGATGACACCAACCACAACAACAACAGCAACGACAACTGCAACAACAACAACGATACATCACAGCATGCCAAACCCCTCCGGTCGGTGCAGTAGGGCGGCGATAGGGCGTGTGTTGTTTTGGGTACATCTTATTTTTCAGTGTAGGGGGCGCGAATATGAGCGACTACAACAACAACAACAACAGCAACAACAGCAACAACAGCTACAAACGAACTACGAAAGAGTCGGACGAAATCGTCCATCATCGGGTCGTACCGGTAAGCGCGATGGCAGCACAACCGGCTCCTTCTCGTTGCCGTCGAAGTTGGTCGTCATGTCCACGGTGTCGAGGTTGATGTCCGTCAGGAGCGTGTCCTTCGCCACGCTCGACAGCTTACACTAATTAGGCAACACGCGGCGGCACGGGAAACGAGGCAGCACCACAACCGAGAAAGAGGGGGCATGCGCACAAGAGACACACGGCGGGGGCTGTCAAACAACAACATGAGGTCTTTCAATAGAAACGTCTCCTACCGGCAGGGGGTGTACTCATAGTCGTGCATGCCGTAGTGGTTAGACTATTGACCTCGCAAAAACAGGGGGGGGCAAAAGCAGCACGTGCGAGGAAGAGACCATCTACCGATGTGCAAAGAGGTTTGGGCATTGAAGCAAATGCCCGCGGAAGATGGCGCAAGTTTAGAAACGTGGGGCTGCTGCATAGCAGGCAACGGCGGGTAGCCGCAGACAACGCGCAAAACAGACGGGGTCTAATAAATACCGGGGGGACCGAACAAGGGGCAAGTGCAACTATTCAGTGTAGATGTGTCGACAAACACGCTGAACACCGTCGGAAAAACAATCTGAGATCAGTCTGCGCACGGCCCTGAGTGTGCCGGCATACTGAAGAACTGATGTCCCGGTTCGTCCTTGTTCATAATCGACGTGTACGATTTGCTATCGTATGGTGTCGTGGGTTGTGTTGACTTCTCTGATTCACCTCGTCTCATGTTCAATCGACGGGTGGGGGTTCGACAGCAAGGAGCAGCGCAAGAAGAAATTACGGTGTTGGTCGCAGCAGGTGCGAGTGCGGCGACATGTGTATCAAAGATGCAGCGACGAAGAAAACATGTACTTCGTAGCAAGAACTCCAGGGTCGAAAAAAAGCCCCAAGTATGACGGGGATTTCGAAACCTTCTTCGGCAAGATCACCATCCACCATCGTCTACCATCGGGCACGGCACACTTTGGACACGGCCTAGATCAGCGCCCCTTGGCAACACCACCACCGTAAATGTAGCACGTCCCACCCCACCCCTGTTGTTTGTATAAGATACAACCCAAATCGGGTTCAAAAGACTACACCTGCCAGCCTCCAACCGCACCGCCCGCACCCTGGTGCAAAGGGTCTACCACAAAACGGCTATTGCTAGGACAACGCCAAACGAACCTCGGTGTAACGCATGGCCGCCGCGGGGTCGTTGTCGATGCTCCCGAAGTTGCCGTGACCCTGGATCAGCGGAGCGCTCATGACGAAGTCCTGCGCCATGCGGACGAGCGCGTCGTACACGGCCATGTCCCCTGCGAGACGAAGACGACAGATGATTGTGCCAGAACCAGCGGACAAAAAATGCCAAAGATATCAAAGAACGGTTAAGTACGTACCATGCCTGCAGTGCGTCCGTACCGAGTAAAAAACATTGGAGAAAAAACGAACAGAAAGGGAACAACAAGCGCAAACATAGGACGTCGGGCTTCCGCCCGTTGGGAGTCACACAGCGACCGAAACAAACAGACCAACGACCGGGTCAGGAAGCAACAAAGAGATGTTCAAACAAGCGGAAAATAACAAGAACGCGAACAACGCACACATACAAAACGAAACAGGCGAAAAAAATCGACGGCCTTCGATTTTACGTCATGTTTAGTACCAAGACTAGACGGTGCGCAGTCTCTCCTTTCTGTATGCATCTCTTTCGGACAAGCTCAAGCTTTGGGGGGTATCTTGCTCCAAGTGTTTCCACCCTCTTTCCCCTCGCATCCATCATTGCCATTCCAGGGGGCTTTTCACAGTAAAATGACAACAACAACAAAAAGACCCATAGCCGACTACAAAACAAAAACCGACATGTGCCTTCAAAGGTAATCGGTGATGACTCAGCACCAGAGGCAATACCACTAAAGCGTGGCCTCATTGGCTGACTCGAAAGCAAAAACACGCAAAAAATTGTCACTGTCGACATCCCTCACCGTGCGGGTGGTACTTTCCCAGCACCTCCCCCACCACCCTAGCACACTTTCGGTGCGTCCCCTCGGGGTTGAGGTTGAGGCCGTACATGGCGTACAGAATGCGGCGGTGGACGGGCTTCAACCCGTCACGTACGTCCGGCAAGGCTCGGCCCTTATAAAGCAGACAACACGACGGCGAGAAGACACGGGATAAGAGGGGATGAGTCGTTGGATACCGTTCAATCGCAGACACTAGATGTACCAGCATCTCTGCTCGCAATCGGCGTCAAAGAGGAGACACGATGAGGCATAGGGCACGTAGACGTGTGGCGGAATCATGATAACAGCATGACCTCGCCTTAATAGTGTCAACCGTAACAGGGGAGCCGATACTGATGTGGGCTCGGGCCCTCAACAAGACGGCCGGCCGGATACGAGTAACGTAACAAGCAGAGGGGCGTCGGGAAGACCGAACCGCCGGACAGATGAACACAAATTGCCGTCGCTGGCACCTGTGGTCAGGGAAAGCGATTGTGACCCTTCTCAACGATTTTTTTTTACTGCCTATCGATCAGGGCAGGTAGATAATGAAGTTGGGAAAAGGGACAAGAGGTTTAACGTCGGGAAAATGAGTGCGGATGTTTGGGGACACCAACAGCAGTACTGCAGGTTCACAAACACGAAATGCTTGAAGAGTGGCACTCCCAGCCCGGCGTGTGTGCGACCCCCTGCTGCGCACAGCGCAGGTAGATTCGAAACCTTCACGGCCGAACACACAAAACAACGAAATGCAATGGTTGTTACATGGTTGTCGTCCTCGCATCAAAGTGTTTTGATCAAAAAAGGGGTCAACCTAAAAACAAGCAACAAGGAACAAACTTCATCCTGCCCTCGTCTACGTTGTTGCGAGCTTGGCGACAACTGCTCGGAGTCTTGCGCAATGCAGAGCAAAATGATCGTGTGGCTCACCAGGATAATGCTCATGGCGTACTGCATGAACGAGGTCTTGATCTCCGCCTCAAGCCCCACGTTCACCACCTTGTATTACAGCACAAATTTTACCCGAGGTGTGACGGCAACACGAAGGACGACAAGCAAACTCGATGCGTGGGACAGCATCGTTGACCAATATAGTGGCGCGCTTCGTACGCCCCAAGAGCGGCAAGGTGGACACACAATAGACGCACCAAAGCTCGGCCGATCGGAACGAAAAACCCTCACAGGTTGTGACACCACGAAGCGGCACATGAGACGAGTTTTTGCTTTAACACCAGCACGAAAAATCCAAGGATTACACCAAAAGGCCTAGGCGTTCTTGTGATCCCTGAAGCTCAGGTTCCCCCGTAGAGGAGGCTAAAACGCACGTAAAGGAGATTGGTTTTAACGCACGCGCAACTGCCACATATGGGTTGGTCCAACAAGACAACGGAAACAAGGAATGTTGTCTTGCAATAAAATTTGAAGTCGGGCAGTCAGCACAGAGCACGGCGCTGGTCGGCATCTCACGTCATTATAGTGGTACATCCACAGCGACTGCAACAGATGCCGAAGCCGGGGTCCGCGCGCGCGGATGACCTTTCGGGACTATCAATTGAGGAGCTTGTGCGTTGACGTTTGGAGGATTCAAACATATCCGTAATGAGCCGGATGGCCACTCTCAAAGAAAGGCAGCTGAGAATCTGTGCATGGCACATAGGAATGGCGCATATTTTCTGCGTGGCTTCTTTTCGTTGACGGGGGATTGACACAGCTTTCATTTGAAAGCCAGAGCCCAGAGGCGATCGCTACCACAGGTGAATGGGGGGCTCAATTGGATCGCTCGGCCGGGACGTGGCGGCAAGTGCATCTACTGCAGCTTGCAAGTGCACAAGCGTCGGTGGTTACCAGGCACATGGAATGAGAGTGCAAGCCTCTTGTCCGTAAACGTGAGTCTTGTGCACGGAGTATGGATGTAGGCTGATCTGAATGTCGGACGAGAGCCGGGGTTCACCACAGGTAGGGAACAGTGATGCCACAGCTCACGTAGATTGAAGAGACAGCAGCAAGGCCAGAGAGGCCTCACCTGATCTCCTCCCACCAACGGTCCTGGCGGCCCCACCCCATCCACCTCTGACGGAGCGTCCGGGTCAGTGAAAAACTGGCTCTCGTCCGATCCTCCACCCGACGCCATTCGCACTGCCCCTGCCGCTGATGCCTGCCGCTGCTGCGCTACAAGGCTGCTGCTGTCGCCGACAAAGCCACCACCATTGCTGCTGAAGCGCCTTGATTCCGCCGCAGCAACCACCCTCCGTCTGCCCGCGCCGCCAGGCACGAAGCCTCCCGTGAGGCTAGCGGTTGTCCTCCTCGCCCGCTGGGCGGCGGTGCCCACATAGCTCCGGTACTGGTAGCCCGCACCTGAGATGGCCGATGAAGAACAGGGCGCCCGGAGGGCCTGGCAGGACCTGTGCGGCAGGGACCACGCAGCAGCCAGAACGGCCGCAGCGTTGCCCACCCGGGCTGTCATCCACCGTCTTTGTCTCTGTTGGCGCGAAACCTTGTGGCGAGCGGGCTTCATATGCTGCTTGCTACCCTGGCCGTGGTGTGCGGTGGTGAGGGCAAGTACACAGTAGCAGCACCGCCGAGGACCAGTTGACTGCATAGTTGCGCCGCATTTTGTGGGGTTGCATGAATCGAGAGCGGGGGGCAAAGACATGAAAAAATACAATCACGGAGCCTCTCTCTAGAAGAAACGACACCATTATGCTCATGTCCAGTGCCATCTGTTCCACACCACACACAACAAATAGCCATCACAGCAACCATGGCCCCTAAGCGCAAGCTCCGATCGTCGACTGAGGAGGATGGTGGAGGAGGGAGCAGTGCAGTTGTAGCAATGGGTAATGGGTCAGCCGGGGGGAAGGCGGGAGGAGCCCGGCATGCTGCCAAGAAGAGCAAGGCGAAGAAGGTGGGCACGTGGGCAGAGTGCGTACGCTGAAAAACACAGCAAGCAGGCGCGTGCGGGGATGCGGGCAAGCGTCCCCGGACGACTTGGCCCACTCTGTTCCCTGCTTTTGCACATCATGAGAAATCCGCCCCGGTTTCGTGTTCTGAGAGATGAATAGTCTGATGCCGATGTCAATTTGCTGCTGCCCGAATAGGAGGGCATAACGGACGTCCTTGTGGCGGCGGACAGGTGGGAACAACAGTTCTTACATCATCGCGTGACGCAAGATGTATTCCGCCGCTCAATCCGCAAAATGGCAACGACTGCGGCTGCTGTTCGGTTCCATTCCTCTTCTGAGTCGCGAGGAGTCGCTTCGAACCTCCCCCCGTCTACCCCCAATGAACTTTCGCAGACTTTGGCCATGTGCCCTCGCACGGCCGTCATACCCGAAGGTCTTGACAAGAGAGATAGCTTTGCCACACATCCACATACACACGCATTCTGTACTCGGCAGCGGTTTGTGCAACCCGCCCACCTTCATAGAAGGAAGTACATCGGTACACGGCAAGGCTCTCCCCTCTTCCCGACAGGACGCCGGCATGCACGAAGCGATCTTCGAACAACGCAGTATAAGGTCTTGCGCCCACCCGCAGCCAAAAGTAGGACGTGCTTCCTCCGAAAATCCGTATCACACAACAATGTAGTGTACCGTGCCCCGTCCGAGGTCGCTTCGGCTGTTCCTGTGAGACCCCCCCAAAGCAGCGTGTACGTCTCCCGCACGCGCCAAAGATTGATCTCCGCAACATCATGCGGATACGTAAGAGGCATTACCATCCCAGCGGCCACACGATAGGACGGAACAATTGCGTGGCCGATGACACGCCTGAAATTTGACTCGGTAACGGCCGGGGGAAGCCATATCAGGCTGCGGCTTCGGTGCATGCGCAGCAGCATTAAGGCGGGGTGATACGTACAACTAGAGTTGTAGTTCGTTGCTCCATTTCCTCACCGTTTGACCACCCAATCAATTGAAGCGCACCGCTGTGCACACTCTTGTTTTTTCAAGTGATCCCTCCGACGAGAGCACTGCACCGTGTCATCAAGGGGCGATACGAGATTGAATATTTAAAAATAAAAGTTAGAAAAGTTAGAAAATAAAAGCATCTAGCAGGACCAAACCACAGCTGACTGCCAGCCCAGGGATGACGTTTGCCGAGGTCAACAGCGGTCACAGCTGAAGTGGCTTTGACCCGATTCGTCCAGCGAACCACACCGAAACAAAAATAAGTTTATTTCGCAAATCTGTCGCAGAAAACAGTGTTATCTTTGCCGTCAAGCGAGCTGATATTGAAGTGGTCCAGTCGCTAAACACAGGCGAGCCTACCGCGAACAGCGGTTCAGCAGGGATTTTTCGAACTGCTTCCCCCCATTCGTTCACTTGGCACATTTGGAGGCCCGAGCCCTCGAAAGTGGCTCGAGTAGAGAATAGAGCAAAGATCGGATGAATGAACACAACCACAGGCTGATAACAACAAAAAAACAATGAAACCAAGAAGGAAAATAATAAAGTGTACTTACGTGCTTACCCTTCGATTTTTTTTTTGTCTGCGAAACTGCTGTATCCCGTTCGCGTATGACCCCGCCTTCACGGCACGGCAGAACGTTCCTCCGCTGCCTGCCCGTGTGGACATCGCCTTCCTGCCGAACGGCTTCAGGCCGGACTTGGCGAAGCTGGCGGCAAGATCGCCAGGGACCAGCACGGGGAGGCCGCTTCGGCTGTACGCCGACGGCATCTTCGACCTTTTCCACTACGGCCACGCCAAGGCGCTCGAGCAGGTAACGCTGTGCGCCCACCCTCCCCCCCCCGTCCTTTTCTGTCAGACGCAATTGTCGTGAAGAGCTGTGCCTGCCCACCCGGAAGAAACACACCCCACCCCCGCTCGCCCTTACTGACGCACTCGATTTTTGGCAGTGTTTTCCTTCGAAGGTAGAAACGGCTCTCGTCTAGAGGTGGTGATATGATGTTCAGTTGACCCGCCGCGAGCCGGAAAGTGATGGCCACGCTTCCCCTGTCACGCCCCCTTCGTTGCTTGGAACATTAATCCAGTTCATCGGTCGTACACTCTGAAGACGAATCGGAACGATTAGCTGTTTGATCGAGAACGCCCCCCAAGCTGTTCTTTTTTGTGCTTCGAAAACAGTACACACAAAGATCCAGATTGGTGTTCGCGGTGGTTGATCTTTGGCGGATCTGTTGTCTTCTCTTTTCGTGGCCTACCTGCTTGTCCCTTTTCGTCATTCTTCCTTCTCTGTGGTGGCTTGTTGTGGAGTCAGGCGAAACGGTCGTTTCCGAACTCGTACTTGCTGGTGGGGTGCTGCAACGATAAGCTCACGCATGAGCTCAAGGGGCGGACGGTGCTGAAGGACACAGAGAGGTACGACACCAAGAAGAAACACACACACACATACACAGGGAGGCATGTCGCCCTGCACAGTAGAATGCGGCAACCGCGTTCTGTCAACAACATTCGGGAACAAACAGTAATCGCTCCCCACACGAGCCATAGAGAAGGGCAAAGTTTCGGTTGTTCTGATGTGTTTGTGTGTGTTTGCGTTTTGTCCGCGTGTTTTTATCGCACTTCGAACTCACCTCCCAACGCATAGAATGCCAGGAATCTCGCAGTGCCCCCGGTGCGCAACGAGCATCAAATACAGAGGTTGGGCTGGTAAACTTGAGAAAAAGCGGGAGGCGAAAGCCTGCTTAGGTGAACCTCGAACACTTACGAGAGGGCCATGTTGGCGTCGAATGTCTTGAGCGTAGCGGCCGCCATGCATCAACTGCCTGAAGAGCTTTGACCCCCCTTCCTTTGCATCATTGGAGAACGATTCCCTGATTCACTTTTGAACAGGGACATCTTTGGCATTGGCACTTTTTCCTGGGGCGGAGGACGTGAGAGCTAGGCATCTCTAGGCAGTTGATGCACTGTGACCGCTCCTCGTCCTTTTGGAAATGACGAGGTGCGGGTACAAAGTACAATGCCTAGAGGTTCCTGGCTGTTACGTCCTCTGCCCCATCTAAGAAATCCAACGTCAAGGGTATCCGTAATCTAAGGTGAGTCGGTTGAAATGTTCTCAAAAGAGGCAAAGGACGGGGGATCAAAGCTCTTCTCTGTAGGCAGTTAATTCACTGCGGCAGCTCCTTCGTGCACTATTATACTACGGTGGCGTCCTCGAAGATGAATCCTGACGACCCCGCTGTTCAAAAGTGAGCAAGTACGTGCCGCCGTGCATCGACTGTCTACAGCGCTTCGACCCCCCGTCCTGTTCCTCATGTTCGGGCATTTCCCTCATGTATCGTCACGAACCCACTGTAGAAGTGAACGAGTAGCTGTAGGCCGTATGTCAACCGCTTAAAGAGGTTCAACCCCCCCTCCTCTCCCTCATTTGAAGACAATTCACTGACTCACTTGACGAGGCCATCTTGACGTCGAACGTCTTTGGGGGGGGGCAGAGGTTGCGGGGGTTGAAGATCTCGAGGCAGGCGGTACACGGCTGCAGCTCCTCCTTCGAGTAGCTGCCGCAGTGCATGAACTGGCTGGAGAGCTGTGACCCCCCGCCTTTTGCGGCATTTCAAGATTTGAATGAAGGCCATCATGAAGTTGAATATCTTGAGGGAGGCAAGGGACGGGAGGTCGCTCTCCAAGCAATTCATGGGCGGCGTCAGCTACTCTAGCAGCTGTTGCCGCGCATGAACTGCTTAGAAAGCTTTGACCCCCAGTCCTCTGCCTCGTTTCAGGACACTTCCTTGGCTCTATTGAGAAAGAGAGGGGTCACCATGACGTCGAAGTTCTCTAAGCAGTTCATGCACTTCGGCATCTGCTCGTCCACTTCCTGTAGAAATGGGCAGCTGCCACAGTGTTTGCATTACCCACAGAACTTTGCCCCCCCGTCCTCTGCTTGAATTGAGGACATTGCACTGGCTTACTTTGTAAGAGGGCCATCATGACGATGAAGATCTTGAATTAGGCAGAGCACGCAGGATCGAACCTCCCAAGACAGTTGATGCACTGCAACAGCTACTTGGGCTGCAGCCGTGCATGAACTGCCTCGAGAGATTCGAGTCCTCGTCCTCTGCCCCCCTCAGAGGAAGGGGTCAAAGCTCTGCGGTATTGCAAACACTGCGGCCGCTCCTCGTCCTCCCCTACTGGACGTGTGCATCGCATGAACTGCCCAGAGAGCTTTGACCCGTCTTCCTTTGCGTGATTTCAGGACAATTTGCTTACTCATTTGAAAAGATGGCCATCTTGGCATCGAAGGGGTTGGAGGAGTTCTCGAGAGGTGGACGAGGGGCTGTCGCAATGCATGAATTGCTTGCAGAGCTTTGACCCTCCTTGCTCTGCCTGTTGTAAGGGCAATTCTCTGACTGTTACATGCATAAAAAAATATGTGTCTTCAAATGTAAATGACACACAAGAGAAACGTTTTTACCTTCATTTATACTTCGTAGCTTTTTTTTTTCTGTTTTGGGTAGGGCGTACACAAGAATGATCACCCACCCAAGATAGGACCCAAAAGGGGTACACCTCAAGTACGGCAGCCATCGTACATACTCGCGAACCACGCTGCGTCCAACACGCGTGACGAAGGTTCGTCGTATGCAAACACGTCTCTTGCAACTCCGTTTGCTCCGTGGGCCTATTTCTTGGCGTCGCTCTGCTTCTCGCCATTCGTTGTATGTCTCGGCTTCTTTGCGCACGAGTACCAGAAGCTGTTTTTCTGTTTTGGTCTCATCAATAATACCTTGCCTTGTGTCTTGAGTCTGCTCCCGCAAGCGTTCGTCTCTCCACGTTCCAAGAGCGCCAAAGAATGGCCGCTTGATCATAAATCGGTTTCCCTACGTGGAGATGCGGACGACAACACCAACAATATGGTCCCATGTATCTCTCTTTGCCCCGTTGTCCGCTGCCACTCTCCGGCACTACGGCCAACTTGGTCCTGTGTCGGGCTCGATCCCGCCTATGATACCTCTCGCAGGTACGAGTCGCTGAAGCACTGCAAGTGGGTCGACGAGGTAGTGGAGGATGCCCCGTGGGTAGTGGACGAGGACTTCATCGCTGTCCACCAGGTGATGTTTGGAGTGCCGTGTTTGTGGCGATGGTGTTGCGGTGGTATTGGCGGCGGCGATTTGACCTGTGTGCTGTCGCGTTGCACACCACGGGGGTGACGAACTGGGAATAGCTGCCCACAACATTTTTGCATGAGATTCAAGCTGTTTAGCCGTGATGCCTGGTCTGTTGGGTGATGAACGTAAATTGATTCCCACAGAGTTTTTCCACGCTTTTCAAGCTGTGCTGTCTTGATGCGGTTTCTGTTGGATGAATCGATTGCTTTTGCGAATAGTTGCCCACAAGATATTGCTTTCTGTGAGACGCCGGGTCGCCGCGCTTCCTTGTTGCGGGCACGGTCCATTCGTTTTTTCATCCCCTGCCCCCGCCTTTCTCTTGATGCGCGTTGCTTGCGCAAACGAATTCTCCAAACCTCTTTTTTCGTTTCCGACACTATCGTGTTTCTGACGACGAGAACAACGGGGTGACTTCTATTGCGGACCTTCGTTTTTTGCAACTTTTTTTTTGTTTTGTGCGCCTTTTGTTTTATTTTTTCAGATCGACTTTGTGTGTCACGACGCACTCCCGTACGGCGACGCCTCCGGGCAGAGCTCGTCTGGCGACGTGTACGCGCACCTAAAGAGGCAGGGGCGCTTCGTGGAGACGCAGCGCACGGAGGGAATTTCCACCAGTGACATCATCACAAGGTCGGTGGGGGGATCGGTCTACGTTATAACCCATAGAGGCCCCGCCCCCTCCTTCTGCACTCGTTTCGGTCGCCGTTGATGGTGTGTTTGTTGTCTGCGTATTTTGGTGTATTTGGTGTGATCGCTGTCGTGCTGTTTCCGCACTGGTTGTTTCATGTCTTGGTTGCTTGCAGAAACCGAAGTTGTTTCGCGGCAGGGACGGTGGAGGCGTGTCGGGTATGAGACCAATAACGCAGGCATCGTTCCTTTAACAATCCGTCATGCGTTGTGTACACAGGCAGCGTTTTTGCCTCCCCACGTGCGTGTGCTTTCCCGCATCATCCGGAATCGTTTGCATGTTCTCATTGGTCCAGATGGTACGGATGGTGAAGTGGTAGCGGGGGCGCGTGTTGCTGTTCGGCGTAGTCCGGGTTGTCTTCCTTCAAGAACTTGCGATGAGGTTCGGCTTGGTTTATTCCGCCCTTGCTGTACCCACGGCATAATCCTGTAGCCGAGTTCGTCTCCAAAGGTTTTCAATTTTTTGCCGTACACATGCACAGTACGAATATCGTTTACGTTGCCTGAACACCGTGCTAACCCCTCGATGGTAATACATATTCCGGCTCGATTTCGGGTTAGGCTTTGACGAACCTTTGTTCTGCCCTCTTTTGTTGTTTGTTTTTCACGTCGTTTTATGTTCGGCGAAACAACGCTATTTATGTTTCACGTACGTACGGGCAGCATCATCCAAGACTACGACGTTTTCGTGCGGAGAAACATGGAGCGTGGCTACAACGCGAGGGACATGAACGTGCCTTTCCTCAAGGAACAGGCCATCAAGTTCGACATCGTCAAGGTGTGTCTCGATCCCCACGGAACTAATTGCAGAATGACGTGGTCAATGACGTATGTAGCCATATCTACTATGATACAGGCATTCGTTGAGGTGTTTTCCACTTATAATAGAACCATATGTACTTGCCAGACTACAGTACTGCCAAAACCCCTGCCTGCATGAACATACGCCAATATCCAAACGCCTAGCGCTGCTGCTGCAGTGTTACGCGGGGAGTATTTCAGTGTCAACGTTTCGCGGTGTGTAATTATCCGCGGACCTCTGATCTCCCTTCCTACGATACATCTCCGATGTGAGCTCGCGCCGTTTGCCACGACACCGATACCGTTCCTGTCTTGTCAAAATCGAAACGGTTTCAGGACAAAGTAACGCGTCGAGTGGGAAAGGTCATAAAGGATCGCCAGGTATGTGTGTGTGTGTGTGCGTGCGTTTAATTTGTTGACATCGATCGGGCTTTCCGGCTGGCAACTGACGAGCGCCTCAGTTTCAGCGACACACCAAACGGTTGTGGGTGTTTGGTGTTGCGGCATGAATCGTGCCGCCGGAAATGGGATTAGGCGTCGGTCTCAGCGGGATATTGAATCCGATCTGTCAAAAGGGTGCTCGTGTGTGCCAGTACGAACGTTGAGGAGGACAAGGAGGCACCGCAAGGATGGCTGGGAAGGCTTTTGTTTTTGAGTCGAAAAGACGTTTGTTTTCGTGAGTTGTGTGTAGTATTTAGTGTGGATTAACCCCGCGAACCGGTGGACAAATGCACGAAAGACGTTTTTCCGTGTGTCTGTGAGATCGTTGTACAGAGGGAACGCAGCTGTGCATTGTGGATTATGACCAATTTCTGTGCTTTGGACAACAACCAAGGATGATTGATGAGGTCGACGACGGTTTTCCCTACTACGTTTTCTTGCCTGTCCTACGAGGTTGAATTGAATATGTACTTGCTGCTTACCCAGCTATTGTGGCCTCTGTTGGTTTGCTGTGCCTCTGCTCGCTGTTGTCCTCGGACCACCAGAACAAGAAAACCAAGCAACAGGCTGGTGGGGCTCTTATCACCAAGGGTACGAAGGGACGGGGTGGCGGCGGCGGTGGTGTTGACCCGAACGGCAACAAGGAGCGGCACAACCTGGTGCTGGATCTAGGGAACCACGCCCAGGAGACCATCACGGACATGCAGAGGAATTTCGTCCAGGTGGGGTATACGCGTTGGTTTCTTTTATCGTGTATAGCTGTAGTGGCCAGGTTGTTGGCGGTGGGATGGTCTTTGCGGGGTCGAGTCTTTGTTGGCGTTTGCCTTCCCTTTCCTCGACCGTTTACACAGAACGAGTCTACCCCACTGTATATTAGTGGCCATGACCGGGGACATGTCTCGAATCCACCGGGGCGGCTACGTCGTCACCATGACTGTAGCCAAGAAGATGCGACTTTCCATCGAGATATTTGGTGTTGGTGCTGCGAGTATTCAACACCAGTTCTACCCCCCACTGCTGCCAGTAAGTTGTTTTTTGGGTGCCGTCGAGCTCACGGGTACCCCCACCCTCCCATCGCCGCTGTGGTTAGATCTTCGACCGGGATGGGGCTATCCGCACGAGCTTCCGCGAGCAAAGAAGGCAGATCCGCGAACGCGTCAACGTGCTCGCGCGGACCAGCTTCTGTTAGGGAGGAGATCCAAGCCTGCCGCCTTGGGGGTGGGGGTGGGTGACCGGCGTCAAGGGCGCCGGCTCAACCGGCTGGGGCGCAGAATTTTCGTTCTTGCGCGAAGGTCGAAGAAGGAGCGCGGGGGGTATCATATCAACCTCAGGAAGAAGTCAGTGAATGGGACTTGGATGAGATGAAGCAGGCTGTGATAGTCTGTTGCACATGATAGGTGTCTTGATGCGCCAGCGAAGGCACCGAGGGCTTCGAAATTTTTGTGCGTGGACGGCGTCGCGGGAACGGACATGTCTTTGTGGCGGACGAGGCAGCATTTGCTGTCGCCCTGATGTGCCGGCCCATTTTCGCCGAAACACCACCGCTCGCGGATCCCTCCTGGACGCATTGGATGCTTGCGATGTTCGCAGGAGAGCAGGTGTGGTGAGCACACAACAATGATGGAATCTGGCGGCGTGGGAATATATTACTGGTGGACAACTTCTTCGGTGTCCAGCACGTAAAAGTACTGAAGCCGATGTCTTGCCTTCTTGACCCTCAACGTTCCTCGCGTTGGAACAAAGACGTCTTTTGTGTTGCTCCGTAGGAGACAGATACGAGATTGGACAAAGAGAAAAGAGTCTAGGTAACTTGGATAAATGAATGCATTCGTCCGGTACAGGATGTAATGTGCACAACCGCGGGGTTGTCGGGGCAGTTCGTAACCGCCGAAACTACACAGATGTCAGCTTGGCTGGTTTTAGCGTGGTACATCAGTACACACCGTAAGAACGCGGGCACGAAGATGTGTGCTACGCGTACCACATCATGCGTTTCGTGAAATGTTTCGTGTGTGAATGTGCAGGATTTCTTTTTCAGCGTGGTTGTCCGAGGGGGGCGGTTGCGGTGGAAGACCTCGTGCATGTGCGTGTTGATGTTTTGCGGGCGCTGGAGCTGCCCCGACCAAACATCTGGCCGGGACGGAGATGCAGAGGGAACAATTGGGGTACGTGCCTTCATGCACCTACATATCCAACCAGAAAGCTGTCCCGTCCCCAGGTGGTCGATTTTGAACTTTTTTTGTGCTTCTGCTCCCTTTTTTGCCAATGTGAAGCTTTTTGCTTGCCAGGAAAGGAAAACCTGGTGGGTGTTTTGTACGATTTCCCGAAGCCCTCGGCGGCCTACTAGAGGCAGGTGAACTCGAGTATATGTATACCTTTGCGGCAGTGAGTAATTTCGCCCTGCTGCCGCGAATAGAATAATGGTAGATTGAGGAAAAGGAGTTGCTCCTTGTTTTCGACGAGCAATCTTCGGGTATATACAATGTCTGCTAGAGAAAATTTAGATGCTCTAATTGAACGCCTCTAGGTTCATGGCGCCCCGACTAGCTTAGCTCTCTCTGTGCGCTGACAGTTATCTACGTCATGTAGGACATTGATGTGGTGATATGACGTACGTACAACGGTCAATCATCAGATTCAACCACACATGACTGCCAATCGCCGGAATTTCGGTCCATTGCTGGCTGAAGTTTTCCTCAGGTCTTGATTCTCGGAAACGCCGCGTACAAGAGCCAACAGTGCCCCCGCATCGACAGGAAGTAGGTCCTTGGACGTGGTGGGGATATGGATAGGGGGGGGGGTAAGGGGCGCTCCCCGAGGAGAAGGGATTCGCACCAATCACGTGGTGCCATGATTGCCGCTATATAGCTCTCCGCGTGATTCGCAAGACCGTACGCTTACGTCCGAAATCTTGGCTCTGTCGGGCAACTCGAGTTTTTCGGTTTTCGGTAAGTGTATGGTACTCCTCGTGTAAAGCCATCCGCATGTGAGCAGGCTAACCACATACGTGAGCTTGTGCTACAGCAGTAATCCTTTTGGCCATCGGCTTCGCTGCCCAACACCGGGAGACCAATGGAAAGTTCGTTGTTCTATTTTTGCAGTGGGACACAGGGCGTCTTCGTTATTGTGTCGAAAGCCTGATGAAGGAGGACACGGGAAGGGTGTGCGTGTGGATGACAACGTCCAGGCCCGCGCACGGCAGTGATTTGTGCTAAAGCGCCGGTGGGTGTGTGGCCTGTGGAGAGCAAAGATATGCTTATCTTCCGAGGTGGGAAGCCGCACAAGGTTTTCTTTGTACCCCTAGCAGGAACTCTCTCCCGAGGTATGCGGGTGTATGGGGGGCCAGAAGCCGGAACACGACATTCCCGGGTTGTGGAGTTGGTTCGATTGTCCGCGCGCTTGTTTCTGTGGACCAGCTGCTCGAAACGTTGGTCTGGCCTGTGACGATTTCGGGAGCTTATGCCGGGAGACAAGGCACGTCCCGCCACACTTGATCAAGAAAAGGGGCGTCCCCTGCAGGCGCTCAGCCTTCGTCAAACGCGACGACAGCCTTGGGGCTGCTTCTTCACGCGTCGTCGACGTGCGTCCTTACCCATGAGGACGATGGCAGAGGACCTCTTTCACTCTATGTTTTAACAACCTGCCCATGACCGCGTTGCTCCGAGCAAAGTCTCTGGTGACTCATTCATGCATTCACACCTCATCACATAAAGTAATCAATGAACGCTATGTACCACCCTCACGAAACGTCCCCCTTGAAAATATCCAAGTAGCTCAATAGGTTCAGAACACGTAACAACTCGGGCCTAACAACAACAATGAGAGGGGGGGATATCGGGGGAGAAGCACTGTAGGCGCGCTGTTGGACGTTCACCTCTCCTTGGACTAGGCAAACCTCTTCTCTGTCACAAGCGGCGAGCACGCCAGCGCCGCCCGGTCGCCGCTCCACCCTCTCAGAGCGCTCTTGCTCCTGGTGGGCGGGGGGGCCGACCTCCCAGACACCGGTACTAAGGCCGCGTCCGGGAGACTATCGCAGGCCCATGTGGCGGGCGAATCACGCTCTTGGGTATGCCCTCCAAGCCCTTGTTCCCCTCCTGCGCTGCTGGCGATAAAGGTTATCCCGCCTACCAGGTTCTCGGGGTCAACTACGACAGACTCGGCCCGATTTTCGGGCGTATCGCCTGCTAATGCATCCTCAGCTAACGGTGCGGCTGCACCACCACCCGTGATGCTGGTGCTGCTAATGCTATCGTCGCTGGGACTGTCGCTCTTCCATCGCCCCATGGAGCTTTCGTTGGACAGCGGAGGAGCCATTGGTCCCGCACCACCGCCACCCACACTATTGGAGCCTTCAACAACAAGAGTTGGTGACGGCTTCTCTCGCATGCCTGACCCAGGCGCGCGGTGCAGGAACGGCAGAGCGCGGCCGTTAGGGGCAGTATTCCCGTGGCTGCTGCCGCCACCACCAACATACTCCACACCACCCCCGTTTTCATGATCGGAAGGAAACGGGTACCCACCCTTGCCTACGGACCCAACTCTGCGGTGCCCCGCGGCTGCCCCTGCCGAGGAGGCATAACTGCCACTACCACAAACACCACCACCACCAACAACACCACCGCCGCCGCCGCCGCCGCCGCCCCCGCCAGTACGTCCACTTGTTGACGGGCAATGCGGCCACATGCCCCCTATCGATGTGGCATCGCCACACGAGTAGCAACCGGTCGAGGCGCCGCCGCCAGGCTGTAGCGGACCATGCTGGCGGTGGCGAGTTCTGTCACCCGCCGCTCGTGAGGAGGCGGTGTCCAGAGGCGAGAAAGCGACGGAAGAAAACCCTCCCGAAGAAGTCGAGCCGTTCCCGTCAGAGGGTACCTCGCGGTGGATTGCACTAGGGTGATACCTCCCGACGGTGGCGCCAGCGGCCTTTCCGTTGGCGGTGGGGGGCGGTGGGTGCAGAGGGTGGTCTTTCGACATCCCGGACATCACCCCGAGCATGATGTTAGCCATCCTACTGGGTGAGTCTATTGTGTCGCAGGTCGAGGCGCGCGACGCCGCGGCGGTGTGGGTGGAACAGTTGGCCCACCCCCTGGTGCTGCCTTCGCGCGTGACCGCGCCGCCGCAGCTGTTTCCTTCGATCGGGTTTGTGGTAGAAGATTTCGGGTCTAGCTCTCGCGGGAGGCTCCACCCTGAGGCCATCGCGAGTCGCCCGTCGAAGGACTCAGCGTCGCGGGGGCCTTCAGGACCGGGACCGTGCGCCGTGACACCTTCGTTGGAGCCCCCTCCGTTGCTGTCCTCGCCCGCCGGAGATTCCGGGGTCCGCACCGCGAAGTGGTTTATTCTTCCTCTCTTTTTCCCGTAGCCTTTGGCGCCCATCACGGACGCCACGTGACCCCGGGGAAACGGTACCGTGTTCGACGAAATGCTCATATGCGCAAGGGGGAGGGTCCGTCTCTCTCGCGCTCTGGTTGACCACGGAATACCATTTGCTAGCAGTCCCACGGCCCCACCCCCGCTTCGGGCCCCCCTAACAACAACTTGAGGCGCTCTGAGCAAATTCCCACACACTCTGCGGTCGGGAGTTCTTCGTCGGGAGGAGGGAGGCACGGCAAATCGATCCCAGCTATCTTCTTTCGGAACACCAACAACACCATTAAGGTCACCAACGGTGTCGATTCCAATGCGACAAGGATCCTCAGGGACCAAATGATGTCTCCCGTAAACGGCTGCGTCGTGTACGGCACGGTCGGTGTTCTTATCAGCGCTTGGAGGAGGGTGAATATCTGTGTCAACCACTCGGCGGAGCGATACTAACTCCGTGTTCTCGAGGAGCTTCTTCGCTCGGTCGACAACGAACTTGTATCTGAAAAACAATTGTGGGAAACGAATGTCGCGCAAATTCGTGAGAAGGCTCAGAGTTTGAACGGTCCGTTTTTCCTTCTTCACCTGGCCAACAAAAAATCATTGAACCACCGCACCGAATTGCTCCGACGAAGAAAAGAGACGCGACGTGGTGATATCTGTATGGTACCATAATAGCATGGGTGCCACATCTCTGTAAATTCCGGAATGATCTTATCAGGCCCGACGGGATTCAACGATGCTGCAGTCAGGATACACAGTCCAGGTAGAATATTCAACAGTCTGGGTGTAACATACTCGAAAGTAGAATGTCATTTTGTGCGAAACTCTTGCCTGCGAATCCCCATCAGTTCAGCCCACATAAACCCTCCGTTGATACGCGTGACAATTAGCACTCTCTGCCGAACGTCCCACTTCTGCAGGAGGTGTAGTAGCTTTTCTCCTGACCCTACGTCGCCGTTGTCGCAGAATCCTTCCTCGGCGTCAGCGTTATTCTTGGGTGCGCGGCTGATGTCACCGATGTTTTTCGGCGCCTGTGCTCTCGCCCCTCGAACGTGCGCTAGCCGGAACGCAAACGGGCTGACGAAATCAGAAAATGCGGCGTCCCGCTCTACCATCGCCGACACGGCCTCGCAAACGGCTCTGGCTTCTGCGACCGTGCGCGCCCTGAGCGTGCGCGCAGCAGGGAGGTTCTTATATGTGGGCTTGTTCGTGAGCATCAAGCAGGAAAGGCGGTGTCATGAATGACCAAACTTCTTTGAAGATGATTCTATCCAGCAGAATAGAGTAGACTACACTTGCTTCGAGAGGAACACTAGAGCGGAGACGGGAAATCCCGCTGAAGTCCAACGAGTCGACTGTGAGACGACAACCCCGGGTCGGCCTCTGAAGCTCGATATCTACGCAGAAGGAGAAAGGAATAGAGTATGTACGTACTGTTAGACGGGAGGCTTCAGATATATATTGAGAGCTGCATGATAGACGACTTTTGTATATACAAACGAAGCAACATCGTTAACCCCGATTCTGGCCTAAGCCGACAGAAGAAGTATCTCCCTTTTGCGTCATGACATCGAGCTTCGAGAATTGACCCACTCAGTGTTGTCGAAACCTGTGCGACCTACCGTACTTGATCATGGACTCGCGCAACTGAGCTGGTGCTCACCGATTGTAACAATTGTAGCGACGTACATGTAGACTAGTACCACGCCAGTCAAGTCCTTTGCTGTACGCGTAAAATCTAGGTACACTCATCACTGCGTGCAACAGCTTTGGCGAGGACCATATTCTAGTTCATTTACTCGCTAGATTCGCCTCAAGGACAGAGGCTTTGGCAGTGCCAATAGTCACCTTCGCCCCAGCCGCAAATATCACCTGCCGATGTGTGCCTGAAACACACACTGAGAAATCGTGATCGGTTGCCCATGCAATGTCTGTTCCGGGAGAGGATGCTCACCCCCCGCCTCCTCAGGTTTCTCTTCGGTTCTACTGTTGGCACGCCGAGAGTCAGGCTCCACTACCCTTCCCCCTGATTCGGGAGGAGGCTCGTCTCTCTCTAAATCACGGCCCTCCTTGTGGCATGTCACACTATCCTCGCTCGTGCGAGGGCTGTCTCGCGGAACGTTGGCGGGTGGTGATTCCTTCTCTGAGCATTTTCCCAGTTCCTCCGCAGTCTCCATCACACGAAACACGAAACGTGGGTCACTCTCTGCCCGCCTGGGCACTCAGGGTCACGTTTCCTGTTACTGTCTTTGAGATTGGCGATAACTGAACAGAGAAGGTAGGCACAGGCGACCATGGCAGTTCTGAGGTCATCACGCTGCCCGTACAGCTGAGACCTCGTGCTTGAGTTCGTGAGTCACGTATGTTTGGCCGCATTGCCGTTTCGTCGTGTCCAATTCCACCGCACTTCAACGGATTTCTTACACAGCAGGCATGGATCAACGGGATGCTCTCGGGCAACGTGAGACGGTCTGGGGGCTGGTGAACAGGGTTCCAGTTTATTTGGTTGTTGTCCAGCTCGTGCACAGCTCACAATGGTAGGATCTGGTAAACAACGGTGACAGATGAGAGATGAAAAATCAGCAACGGCATGCGGCGGAACCCGGGGATCCGTGAAATCCCTCTTCAAGCTGCTTCGAAAATCGGCCGCCTACGCGCTACACTGCTGTAGGAGTCACCGTCCCAACAGGTGAACCCAATAGCAGCACATGATCCTGATCGAGGGCAACAAAGCGACGGGATCAACCCAATAGTGTGGCAGCACGGGTGCCAGCACAGGCACGCCCACAAACTAGTCCCGCATACGCGAGGTCGGCAGTGGAGAGTCTAGCAGACTATGCGTTTACGGAACAGCGTCAAGGGATCGAGTGATCTGATTGCCGGCGGCAGTGGCGGCTACGAAGAACCCACCGACAGGTATCCAATGGATGATTTCGACAGTCTTCTGACAGCATTCGATGGGTTCATCCGCGGCAGGACGGATGGAGTAAGCACAGACCACGGCCAACCACGCACCGGTTTTGAACATTTTGACAGTGACAGCAGGACACATCAACTCCCTGCCAAAACCGACGGCGGTGCTCGGTTGCCACGACTCTACAGCCGATCATCAAGCGTGTTGGCGGCAGACCTCGGTTCGCAGAGGCGTCCGGGCACTCGCAAAAAGGACCGCCGTACGTCTAGGACTAAAGCCTCACCGGCGTCTCCATCGGCAGTGAACATCCTCACCCCTCATCCTGCCCTGGAAAAGCGTATTCTATATGGTCTGCATGATGATCCAATGGATCTCATGCTTCGAAGCAAGGGGCAACGGAGGTCTGGCCTTGGGGATTTGCAAATCAGACCCGAAAGTGCAGGTCTCAACAACAACGCTGCTCCCTTCGATGGAGGAAGTTCTGCCGCAATCGCAGGGGTCTTCCGGCTCACGCACGCCGCTACAGGCTACGTGCATTACGGGTACAGCTGGGACATCGGAGGAGCAAAAGCTGAGCAGCTGAGGCGACTTGGGTTTGAAAGCGGCGACAGCTTAAGCAGCAACAGCACCGATCTCCATCCTCACAGAGGACTGTCCGCCATCGTTTGCGGGTACAAAGAGAACAACCTCGGGGGTCGTGGTGACGTAGAAGGTACCACACCCAAGAAACTCAGAGGGTCAGCAGAGGCCGCAATGGGGCCCATTTGGTTCGAAGTGGTACGGCGGATGTCATTGCCGACCCGATTTCGCGCGGTTGACTTCGATAACTTTTTGCGCGAAGCTTGCCAGCAGGAGCTGCTGGATCGGCGTGCACACGTACTAGTGCTTGTCGCGCGGCAGTACAAAATTAAACACATGGGCCCGGCTTTCCGGCGCATGCTAGACACATGCAGAAGAGAAGGAGAAGACGAAACTTTCGCCGCCGCGGCTGAGATTCAGCGCACCTGGCGCGGGTTCCACTCGCGTGACTCAGCGCGACGTGCACGAGAAAAGAGGAGCTGCGATCGTGTAGAGACTAATCAGGAGAGAGTGGGGACTATCTTGGCGACGTGGGCTCAGGCGAAGCACCGGGGAAACTTGGGGCGACGACGCGCTTGCAGCTTGCGAGAGAAGAAGATCGCAGGGGCGGTGGCACGTAAAAGACAGGCCTCCACCAACGCAGTTGCGATTCAACGTTGGATTAGATCCATATTTCGGCGGCAGAAGGAGGCAGTGGCAGCGGCTGACAAGGCTGTCCTTGACGCCCTCTTGGAGGCGATCCGTTTGGAGGAAGAGCGTAGAGATTCGCCTTCTACCGGCGAAACACCGCAGAGAAACTTACGGGGCCCACCGCGACCAATCAGCGCATCCGAAGCAAGAGTGGGAAAAGGTTCTTGCGATGCCGACACCGAGGTGTCACTTTCCGGAGCTTCGGAGCGAAATTCTGGCGTGCCTCCGGATACTGCGGTACAAGAAAGGACGCCCGGCCGCAGCAACAGTCAGCAGCAGCAGAAGTATCGAAGACCGCCCTCGTCTCGACGTGGGTCAGACGTCCCCTTGCATGACAACGGGAAACCTCGACGGGAACCTAGTTCCAGAGGGCAAAGAGAAGGCAAGCGTCCCTCGAGTGCTCCACGATTAACTCAGAAGACAGGTGATGCAAAGTCGGTGGAAAGAGCTCGGCCGGCCACCCCCGAACTACCGGACGCGTCAAGGCTTGTGCTCGAAGAGGATCCTAAGTTCACCTCTGCTACGGCCATCCAAGCCGCGTGGAGGGGCTTCTTCGCCAGGTTGAGCATCAGGAAACGCCGGAGGGCAGCCGCGGCGTTGAAGAGAAAACGAGAGGGCAAGTGGCGAAAGCAGCGTGGAGTAGTGGGCAAGAGGGTAGCGGTGGCATGGGATGAGCGGAAAGACTTGGAAGAAGGGGGCGAGGGAGGCGGCACGGGGGGGAAAGCATCCTGCACTGAAATACAGGTATGAAGGAGGCGAACAGGGAGAGGGAGTGGAACGTAGCGCTCGAGTGGTATGGGTGCGGTCACGTACTTAGTCTCTCTGTAAAATATACTTTTTTTTGTTGGCATGTCCGGAATAGGGTGGGGTTCCGCAGCTGCGATAGCCACCTCCCTCTAACCTTATCTGCGTTTTCACTATATTTTCTTGACGGTTCGCTCGCCTTGTCCCACGCGAAACCGAACTAGCGAATTTGGCGTGGTGCCCTGGGGCGAAAGGTGGCACGCCTCCTCCGCCGAAGGAAACGGGATGAAATACAAGCCTCTATTGAGATCCAGCGGACGTATCGCGGATTATTGGGGAAACGGAAGGCGAGGAGCGTCAAGGATGCCAGGAACAAAACTGTCGCGGCAGCGTTGATGGTAACAAGGCAGGCGAGATGACGTTCATATTCGAAACAAAGCGAATAGGGCCCCCGAGTTTGTCAACGTGCACGTCGATAGTGCCCACGATTCAAAACATACGATGAGGTCGAGCCGATAAAGTACCATACGTGTGGCCGGTTCGGGCATTCACAAGACAACCGCAAAGCAAAAACCTTTGTCGAAACCAATGTTCCATGCTCGTTCAGAATGCGTATTTCGTGATAGTGCTTCCCATGGCTGTCAATTGGTGCTCATTTAACAATGAGTAACAACGCCCCACCTCATCTTCTGGTAATCGTTGGCCTTGCCGCTCAGTCATTTCAAGCACCATGGCGCTCGCATTTTCTTTGCACTTGGGCTCCAACACTGCGATCCCATTGACAGGCTGTACTTTTCTTGAGGAACCTGAATGCACGCCGCCGTCGCCAGTACCGGGCGGCCACCACAATTCAGTGCGTCGCGCGCGGGCTAGCCAGCAGACGCAGGTTTCAGCGTATACGGTGTTTGCATGCGGAGCACGGGGCCGCACGAAAAATACAGATGGTGGCGAGGGCTTGGCTGGGGCGGCGACAAGGTCGGCAACGCAAAGTCCTCGCGAAGTTGGGGGCGTGCGCTCTGTGCTGCTTGCGGCTGGCCGAGATGTACCTCGAGACCACGGAACAGGTTGGTCAGCATTTTGAGTGAGAACAGAGGGAGGGGGACGCCTGTGTCACGTTCTGAGTTTTCGGCCTCCTGCAATGAAACGCACATATACCTTTTGGTTGAGCTAGTGGGTAAGCTGGGGCAGGAGCGTACGCGACCATCATAGATGCTCCATCGTTGTGAAGATACAGATGAGGGGAGCACCGGAATGCCCGCATCACACTAGCGCGACGTCTTGTGCAGGAAAGCATGTGTCATCGGGGTCACTTCCACTTGAGATACGGTGCGAAGCTCCCGTACCTCCTCTGTGCGTTGCACTGAACGAAGCTCGAACTCGGCTCTCGCACGCAATTGCAGGAGCTGTGCTTGGAATGCTACCGAATCACGGGGACGGTGCTGGAGTCCAGGAAAGTTCCACCTGCTCACTCTGAAGGGGCGTTCGAGCTGTTGGAGCATCGCAAGAGGCAGAAGGCGGCGACACTCACGCAGCGCGCTTGGCTACGTTTCCAGCAAAGGGTGGGTGTTCAGCGAGCCTCGTTTTCCCGCGCGCACTCGTCTCAAGATGACGGGCGCCATGTTGGTAGAGATATGCCATGTAGTGACCCATGCTACGAGGCAGGTGCGAACTATTAGGTAATTCCCAGGAGCGAGTCAAGCGCACACCAACAGGGGTCGGAATGCAATTCTGCAGAGCACGGGTTTCTACGGTGATATGAAAGCCGAGATGACTGTAAACCTTGATCGTCTATGGCCATATAGGCTCTTACCCCGTTGCGGTGGTACTTTGTGAACGTGATTCCCGACCTGGTTTTGTTGATGTCTGCCAATAACTCGCATGCCTGCCCTGAACCATGTGTACGGCCGGATAGACCAACGTTCGCCCCTTCGCGACACGCCCCACAGGCTTTAGCGAGGTTCGGTAATTGCGAAGTGTGCCCTCGGTGGAAGGGGCCAGGCGCCCCGCTCCCCCGCGCAGCAAGGGTCGTGTGCGTCGCGGGATGCGATCGCCGCCGCCACCTCCGGTACTGCCGCCGGTGCTGCGCGATAGCCCATTCTCTGAGGGCGACCGTGGGCCACGAGATCAGAAGCGTGGACCGATACGGCACCGAGATGGCCGCTGTGGCGACGCTTGGGGGTGCCATGTGGCGGTGAGGGTTGGGAGCGCAAGTTTATGACCGGTCGAGCCTGTAGCACGCGTATTGAATCTTGAGCGTTGTCGATTATTCCTGCCTCTAGTATGGCACTCCAGCTGAACAATCGATATGAGAAAGAGAACTCAAGGGTACATCAATGACAACATCATCATCAAACCCTACCATTAACCCTAACCCTGCATTTTTCTCCTATGGTCACGATGCACATCTCACAAACAGGTACATTCTCAAGCTCCGGTTTTGGAACCTGTTCGCGTGTCATCGGAAACATCTACACTCGTCGGCAACGCTTGTCCAATCACGGTGGAGATGTTACCGTTGCCGCCGGGTCTTTACCGCTCTTCGCCGAGGGTTTCTATACGTCGAAGCGGCCGCGAGGTCTGTCGAACGCTACTGGTTCATCCGAAGCAGTAGAGAAGGTGGGCGGGCCATTTGAAATCGAGCAGAAATGTGTCACAAAAATATAGAATTGCAGACTCGACCCATCCAAGCAATGGCTGCATGCACGGGCATCGGTGGCATTGAGACGGTGGTGTCATGCTTCAGCGGCGTTCCACTTGAAAGCCATGTGCAGGGTGTACATGTGCATGTTCAGGCTCAATCCAAGCTCTCCCATTGTTCGCGCGCGTGCGTCTCTTTGTCCTCTCGAATATGATGCCGCTTTCAAGCTGTCGCTTATCGCATCATGTACGCCTCTTTGTTCGGAATATTGTCGACAAATCCCCACTGCCGCGGTTAGAAGGACCGACTCCACTTGCTGTATTTTTTTTTCGACAGATATCATAGCAAACATCGCTGGACTCATGGCGTACAACGTTCAGGCGTTCCCGCCGGGGATACACCCGCCACCTGCTGGCCGTTTCGCTCTTTGGGAACGGCTCATAGTGGACGCTATTCGAACTCGAGCTGTGACCAAAATCCAGCTAGAGTGGAGGAAAAAGATGGAGAGGGCGGTGGCTAGAGCATTTGCGCACGTGGCTCGGCTGCAAATGTAAGCAGAGGCCCGAAGAGAGATAGGCAACGGCGTTTGGTACAAGTGTTGCTGCACATGTCCTTTCCTTGGGAAGCGTGACTGAGGAGATCTCATGTGCGGGGCAGGGGCCGGGAACAAGCCTCTTTCACGATATGCTGTGCTGGGGCGATTGGGCTGGTCCGACTTCCTCTTTTCTAGCGACTTCTTGCTTTCAAGTCTTTTTTTGCTGCGCTCCCCCTTTCCCCCACGTTTCATCGAAGGCTTGGCTGCTTTTTTCAGTGGTGATGGATATAATTGAAAAAAACGACTCCATACATGCAAGGTCAGTGAAGCCGTGATGGCACCTCTAACACCCACAAGGCCGTTTCCAACCATGATGACACTCCATCCAATTGTTAGCTCCAGAGAGGTTGCGGACCACCGTGCTTACATCTGTGCCCTATTGTTTTTGGCAGGATCGAACGACAACGCCTCCGAGCTCTAGCCGAGCTTCATGCCAGCGTCGACATCCAGCGCGCATGGCGGGGGTCACAAGGGCGTCGGGCCGCTTTCCTCCGGGCAGTCACGATCAGGTTCGCCCGACAAACAGCCGAGCGGTACGCAAACCCTGCCAGGTTCGCTGTCGCAAACCTCCGCGAGTTCAATGCACACGGTGGTTTCTTGGGAATCGCAGGCGTCGATGCCTGGTCCCTCCTTTCCGCGGCCGTGGGGGTCGGCGATGAAGGGCAAGGCGCTATGACGGCAGGTGGCGCGGGAGTTACATCTCGCGAGAAACGAACGGCTGAAGGATTAGGTGACGGTGGCAAAGAAGGCATTTGGTTGCGTCTTTCCCCGTACGGGGAGAACGACTGGGGGCTATCGGCGGATACGAGAGTGGCGGGTATCGCTGAGGTGTGCATCCGTGTTTCTCTCTCGCGGTGCATCCCCTTGAGCTCGGGAGGAGGAATGCTACCCCCACTGGGTGCTGTTGGGGGCGGGGCGGAATCGGAGGTTGCGCGTTTCGAAAATGACGATAAAGTATCCAGCGGCAGAATACAGAATGAAAATAGCCGCGATGCCCCACCGCTCACCCTGAAACTGGAGCTCATTTCGGTTCAGATCGACTCGATTTATCCGAACCAGATCTCGCCATCTGAGGACATACCCGTTCGGGCTTCTGCGGCGGAGTATGGCACTGACGATGACGATTCGTCCCTTGCAACTAGTGATAGTGGTGGGGGGGAAGATAGTGCCAGCAGAAGTGGCTCTTGTTCGAGAGAAAGTAGCATCAACAGCCACGGCGTCGGCACTGGCACTAGTGGTAGCACTAAGACCACAAGCGACCACTCCGGCGAGAGCGACGACGAGGACAGCGAGTGGAGCGGCGGAACGGGAAGGACCACCACCGGTAGCCACGCTTCCAGGGTCGGCAACACGATCAAGGACAGCACGAAGGAAAGGAGAACAGATGGACGAAGGTCCCGCGGCGGTTTCCTGGAAAATGACGATGACTTAGCGGTGCGTGAGCAAGGGCAGTACCAATGCGACGTCGAGTGGTGCGGAGTCAATATGGGCGGGACTCGGGCTCAATTAGCCGGACTGCCTACTCCTCGGTGGCAAGGGCAAGTGTTCTACCTCCCCTTATGTGCAGCCGCGACCCCTCACGGCAGAGCATCAGAATCAACAGCCGATGCAGATACTTCGGTCGACGAGAGCAGGGCAAAGGAGCATGTTTCGCACGGACGAACAGGAGAGGGGGGTGGGCAACAACAGCAGAGCAACCCTTCACCCTCCCTCTTGAAGATCACGCTCAACAGGATCTCGTGCGGCAGCGATGGGCCAGCCTCCTGCAAGGGAGGAAAGCAAGATCGGAGAGTTGACATTGGCATGACGGCTGCTCAACACCGAACACGATGGTCGGCATATTTGTGTGGGCTTATCCAACCGTCACCTGTTGGCCGCGCAATCCTTGAGGCCGGTGATATTCTTAGCATGCTGGGGTCCCAGCAGGTGAGTGGAAACCAATCTTGACGTCGTATGGTTCCAAGGACGTTCAAAAACGTAGGGATAAGCGTGGTTGAATAACCCGCTCCCCCCTCAGAATCAGCCGCCCGTTAGGTTTTCGTCGCTTGGCAATGACGTTGTAAAACAACCCAAGTCACTTCGTGAGCTCGGCAACCAGGTTACCGTTTTTTGTTTTACCTCTGTTTTTTTTGGCGGTAACCATGACGGTGGGCGAGTAGATCATGTTGTGCAGGGTGGAGAACCCTCACTCCGTGTAAGGGGGATGATCGCACCACGTTGTGTGAAAATGGTCAAGCACCCTCGAGGCAGT